AGTATATTCAAGCCAATAAGACCATCTGTTTCCACGAATACAATTGTTGTCCCTTTATTTGCAACTTAGTATTGCTTGCTTGGTATAATTTATTAATACCAGGGTGCAATTGTTCATCTGCAATATCATTATGAGATTGCAGGCTTGAGTCCTTTTTAATTTTCAGGTGCCAACAGCGTTGTGTTGACTTCATAACCCAACGTAGGACTTGCTTTCATCAGTTATCCTTCACATCTGCCTTCATTCTTTATATTGCTTTACATTATTTCTAGTGTTAGTATGTACCATATGTAAATACATACACACAATTGTTAAAGAAAAAAATAGGCTTGCAAGATGCATGCTTATAAGCAAGGTTACCATGCTCTCTTTCATCTTTTCCACCCCTGTGCTCAGTACCCTATGCTATGCTTTTTCTGGATTGCCAATCCTTACTGTTATACTTTATCTAGGTTTCAAACCCCACAGTTCAGGGCTTTGTTGATTTTAAGTGTTATGTACTCACACATATTAAGAATGCAGCAGGATAATTGACTGATGGGTAAGTGTCAAAGCAGTGCAATATGCACACTTTGTAAATGTGAGCGTCTGCGTGACTCCCCAATATGGCAGCCCAGGGAGAAAATGCCAGTCATAGAGGCTGTCATCGATGAAGGCGGTGATGAAAGAAGTAAACAAAATGTTGTGGACTAGAAGCTTGGGTGCAAAGAAAGAAGTAGAATGAAACTATCTGGAAGGCAGGCAGAAAAGAATTTGTGCCATGTCTTGAAAGAGACAGCAGTGGTTTAAAAACACAACACAGTTAAGTATATGCAAGAATAAAGTGATGTTAGTTGTAGCTGGCGGCACTGATTTAGCTTTTTGGATTTTAGTTAATAGTGTTAGGACAAGAAATAAGGAGATTATTGTAGTAGTTGAAGCAGGAGATCACAAAGACAGCATGTCTGCCCCAGGGATGCTGTTTTTATTATCAGAACTTATATGGACAGGAGAGGATGGTCTCATTCTGAGTTGTAGTTATGCTTTATTTCATTTTGTACACACTCTGGTACTGCTGAATCATTCTTTGGTTTGTAATCCAAATGGCCAGACGATTTCCTATTTCATATTCTTAAGGTGACTTGAAAAATAACTTCCATTTAAATAGTGAAAATATAGCTTTGAGCATTTAGGGATGATATAAAATGTACTAGGAAGTTCTCTGTCTTAGTGAAGGCTAATTATGATACAAATTAATTCAATTTAAAATAATTTAATTAAGTAGAGTTTCATCCTCTTCTCCCCATGGGACAAAAGTTAATGTTCTGCTCAGATAGGACCACAGTCCTTTTGAATGCTTTAAACTCTCTTCTCTGCTATCTCTGCATTTATCTGCAATCATTTAATATGTTTTTTTTTAATGGGGAAATTGGATGCCCTGTGCCTGTCTTGTACAGGAGAGGTATTCAGTTAGCCAATCTGCAGAGATATTTCAGAGCCTCTGGAATACAATATTTTTATAAATGGTATACTTATGATCCTTTTGTTGGTTAGGTTAACATTGAGGCTGCCCTAGCCGGGGCTGGAAAAGAGAGTGCAGTTTTATTTTTGGGAAGCTATTTTGTCTCTTACACCTGCTACAGAAACTCTCAACATTGTGGTTTAGACTCCTATGAGACTACATGTTGAAAAGATTTTTTCTAGTTCGTTTTCCTCACTGTGGCTCTTATTTTCTAGTGTAACCATGTCTGATGTAGAAAAGGTAATATATGTGAATGGGGCATGAGACTTACCAGCAGGATGTGACACAGGGAACTGCTAGAGCACTGTGTGGAGAAAATAGCATATGTTTTCACATGTGTAAGAAGAAAGAAATGAAACTTTGGAAGCAAGATAAAGTTATGCTGGATTGTTCTGACACAACCCTGTGCCCCTGACCCATTACACCTGCTTACCAGAGAAGTTCATTTGTGTAATACAATGCTTCATTTTATAGAAATGAAAAGATTTATTGTGACACTATAGGTAATCTAAGCAAAACTCAGCTACGCTCTTGACCCTCTGACACTGATCATAAACAACAATAAAGTGTCTAGACAAGATGATAATGCTAAGCTAAAGAAACAGCTCCCCCTACTGATGGAGTTGCTCTCTGAACTGATCATGATACCTTTTCACTATGAGCCTATAGAAGTCATTATTACAGTGTGTATGTATATGCATACACCAACATTTATATTTCTGAGCATAGCCTGCTAATGCAGCTTTTTAAAGCTCTGTGTGACAGAGGCACAGAGGGTGAGACTAAATATTGTGTGGCTGGGGATTTTGGTGAAGTATAGCAGAGAATTACAGAAACCAGATCACCTTCTAGATTAAGTGTCTGACCCTTGGAATATTATTTTGTAAAAAAAAACAGTTAAATTTCCAGTCATGTAAGTAGTAGCCATTAGGGCTGTGCGAAGCTTCAGTCGTTGATTCAATAAAGCAGAGATTTGGCTCAATTCAGCGGCCAAATCTCCGAATCGAATCAGGAGACCCTTTAACCTCTCCAAATTGAATTGGAACCCTCTGAATCGATTCAGAG